TTTTTTTTTTTTTTACGGTATAAGGATAAAATATTTAAACGCATTATATTGCGAGAACGTTGTTTCTTGAATTACGAATAGATTGTCATCGTCATTATACTATGTAATTATTTTGCGATTATATCTATTATTACATATTTGGATTTTTTTTCATTTTTTTTTTTTTTTTTTTGATTGGATCAATAAGATCTACGCCACTTTCGCGGAAATTTCATGTCGAATACATGCGATAATGTGGCGTGACAGGGATACGTTTCAGCGTTAATAGTATACAATATGTTGCGATGTCTACGTTAACAATGTATAATTCAGCACAATTAGCGAATCATCGCGCAACGTGCTAAACATATTCATGTGATGCCTCGAAAACTATTAAATTAATCATTACTGATATTAACTTTCTATCGACAAAATTATCTTGCTTTATAAATAACTGACTCTTTTATTCGTAAAAAATATATTAATAAACGCGATAATTAATGTAGAGAAAACATAAAAAATATGTGACTAACCTGATTGCGGAGCTTGGCGGATGAGGAGAGAAGATCCACATGTACAGAGGATATTTGAAAAAATTAATATTATAAAAACAAGATACTAATAACATCATATCGTGCGTATATTATTTTTTTAGCGTAGTTTAATTAATGAGATGCGAGACTATTCTCTCACATCTCCTTTGATAAAATTTTCGAGACGGGAAAGAGAGGTGGGTACGTTTTGTTATAGTTCCGAGAACTGATTCCTACGTAATTGCACGTTTAAGCAACTAGCTCGTGCTGAGAAACCAATTGGAACGATAACGAAATTACATTGTCACAGCGAATGGGAGTAGTCTCGCGTCAACCTCTGTACTGGCAACTTTGCATCAAAACTTTCCACCGCTGCGCGAGTAACCCTGTTAGATTGACGAACATTGGCCCCGAGGGATCGGCGCCAAACTATAGACGTCGCGGTAATTGAAGGGTTTATTGCAGAAGAAAAAGAGACAGAGTTAGAGAGAGATAAGTCCATTTTGATACATTTTTCAAACATTATAAGAAGCTACTCTAAAAATCTCCTTATTATGTTAAACAGGCAAGTTTAAATCTCTTACCGCAGTTTTCAGTAGGTATAACATATATTTACACAGTTATATATGGTAACAAGCGCATTTTGTGAATAAGATATCTTATCTCGTCGAAAACTGAAATGATATTTCCACTGCCAAAGTTTAATTAGATCGAGTTACTTTTTCGCAAGAGAGGTTTCTATATCATTAATATAAAAAAATATTTTGGTCTCGAGACTTTAGGATCGAGATCCTGTTAAAGTTCATCTAAAAGTAGTCAAGGGAGGAGATTTTATCCGTTTATTTGCAGAGCGTTGCAGCTTAATTCATTAGCTTAAATCCAAAATTACTTTTTCTCATAGTTCTAAAATTATTCATGTCGCGATGCATATTTTCCTGGAAAGAAAAATTATTTAAATTGTCGGCGGTCACGTTACATCAGATATGTTTATTGTGTCAAATTTGTATAATCCTTACGCAGCTTTTTATGATTACACGAGAAAAAAATGACTATTTATTATTTTTATATAGATGGCTATTATGAATTGAGAATTTAGCACGCTGTTGCACGAAACTCTTCAATAATTTCTTTCATTCGGTCGTGATCTGTTTCCATTGCTGGGTCACGTACGTACCGGTAAATGATTTTATCTGTGGCAGGAAAATTATTGATTCTTTACGTCATCAAGAATGAAAAAGTATCAATCCAATGGGCAAAATGAGTAATGGGGGAAAAACGATACGAGACACGAAAAACATGAACGAGTGCGCGATATAAATTTATGTGAGAGAACAAAGCGCGGCGATATTCGTTGTTCGATGTATGCTCCCGTTAAAACGGAAAAATTATCTACCTTCACGCTGAATTGCTGCACAATTAATCCAGAGGCGGAACGCGCAAGTAAATCGCGGTTGGTAATTTTTTTTTGCGCGCTGTAATTCAACCACATAAAGAGATATCGCGGAGGAAGATACATAAAATAAAGGGAGATGCGCTTTTGCTAAGAAATTAAATTATGTCCAAATCTCTCGCGAGGGGGGGGGGGGATGTGCCGCTGAATCGCGTAGTTCATGAAATTTTTTGCACGCATGTGGCGGTAAATGCAATAAATTGGCCGACAGGGAGAAGTCACGTATTTATTTATATATCGCATGACGGATGCGGCTACGTGAAGCTCGGCGTGGATGAAGAGAAAAAAGTTTTTACGCGGGTATAAAATTCATGGGAGATTATTCTACCGTTCTGCGCTCTTCGACTTCTCTTTTCCAAAGAGAAAACGTTTCACCGTAGAAACGTCATGCTTTATATCTTTCAATTATTCGACAGACCGCGCCTGATATTCCGCGGAATATCGATAGCGATTCTAATCACTGATGTGGACGGGGATTATTTCCCCGGGTAATTAGTATAATATAAACAGCATTTCAGATGTGGAAGCTTTTGGAATTACCAGTCGGTTTGGGGTATTGACAATTCCGCTTGAATATAAATTTATCGAAGCGATTGGCACTCGATATCGTATATATAATTTATGTAATCGCGTATTTGTCGAAATGTTACCAATGTTGTTCGTGATATTATTGGCGAATTTACATCTGATGTAAGTTTAATTAACTATCTTAGCGCGCATGATGACGTGCAAAACGGAAATTACGATTGCGTCTGAACACAAGATCGAGTAAGTTAATCGAAACTGCGCCTGGATAAGTTACGCGCTGACATTTGTGCTCCGAAATTGATATACAATTTCGAGTATCTTTGTAGGAAGCGCGAAGTAGCTAAATACTCCCCGTTGTATATAATGTGCACGCATAAATCTGAAGTTTCTTTGTTCATAGGACTCTAGCGGGTGATTTGTAGAAATCGTTATAAGTTTTTGCAATAATGACGTTGCATAGTCAAAGTTATGTAATTCGTGGAAATTGTGCAAATGCCGAGACGGGGCGTAATCGATAACTGCAACGACTTTTCCAATCGTGGATTTATTTCGCGAAACAGAACACGATCGTGCTTTACTTGATACGAAAGCGTGGCGTTACCAATTAAATGCAATCGGCTGTACGATAATTCATTCGTTACACAAATATAAATCTGCCTTCGAAAGTGTACAGTTTACCGAAAATATATCAGTCGGTCACTCTCTCATGGCGTGATAATTTTATCGTTATAATGAAACTATTTTTTTTTCTTAGATTTTCTTTAGGTTTTCGGAGTTTCCCACGCGTTTTCTAGATGTGTCTTCTCCAGAGGAGTATGCAACTCTTAACTTTTAATTAACCGCTTCTCCACACATAACCGCGACGCGTTACCAGTTAATTGAACGATCCTCCAGGCGCCTTCCTAAGCATACGACCGGAAAGTTTAAACTAAAATTTATTAGCATATCCCACTTCGGCTAAGTTACCTTCTTATTACGCACAAGTTCCTTCACACACTATGTTTATCCCGGTGGATTAAATCGGGGGGTCAGGTCTCTACATCCGTACTTTTCTCTCTTTGCGCTCCTATTTCCCTTTCCGTCTCGTTGCCGTGTATCTGTCCGCGGGTATGGATTTATGATGGGCGAATTTATAGCGTGTTTTTTTTTCTTTATAATAAGCCGAGGGGCTTCGTAGTACCTAGTCGGCTAACGAGACCGACATTTTGATGAATGAATGCTCGACTTGGCTCACGTCGGATCAAACGACTGGTATACTACTAATTATGAAGCACCGGATCTGTGCGAATAAAGCGTTGATCTTCCTTTTGATTCGATTTTATATTTTCTTTGTGTATTCTGCATCTCCCCCGATGTATCGCGTTGAAATGCTAATAATATTTTGCTAAGAGTATTTTCAAATTATAAAGCATAAATGATTACTCATAAGATAGAGATTTTCGAAGAACAAAAATGAGTCTAGAGAGAAAAAAAGTTATCTTGAGCAAGAATAGAATAAAATTTTAAGTCGCTTCTTTCTCTCTTTCTCTCTCTCTTTACTTTCCAGAAGATTATATTTAGAGAGAATTTTTGTTCGCGCGTGTCATATAATTTTATAAAATGTCATTAATGTCTATTTATTCATACAAAAAATATTTAACATGTATATTAAATTTCACGAGATTTATATAAAACAATATTATATAATGTTTAATTCAATAAAATGGAACATACACACACAAATTTATTTGAATAATTCCCAAAGAATGAATACAATCGTTTAAAATAGAAGGTAAATATCAAATTTACTGTTGAATAGAATTAAACATAATCAACAATAAAGAGAGAGAGAGAGAGAAAAACGCGTTTAAAATCACTAGCTTTAACGTGCTTCAGGGTTGGACGAACAATTCGATAATCGACAAGCTATACAAGAGAAACATGAATCCTCTGGCTGTTGCGGACATGAATAAATTCTACGATGACAAGGCGACGCCAGGTAAATAGTAGAGATTGCTACTTGCTTCTTTTCGATACTGATGCTGGAATCTCGTTTCCGGATCGGTCTTTTGCTTCACAGGTATCGCATCGGAAACACAGCCGTTGCAAGACTCGAGGAATCCCTACAAGGAGGAAATACAGGTGTACGAGCTCACGGGCGGTGTCGAATTGGTACCTTTGTTAACTAGTAGACGCTATCAATCGAATCCGCAGACCACACGCTACCTTGTCACGGATGCCACTCGTCCGGGATACATGATAGAATCGTAAGTGCGAACATCTGCAATGATTATTTAAATATTAGCGTGTTTATTCGAAATGGTTGATGAGAATAACATTTCTAAACTTGCATAAAAATTGAAAACTCCAGATTTTGATAGTCTTGCTTGATATTTAAATACAATTGTAGTATTAATAAAATATGTGTACTATTTGCTTATATATTTGAGTGTAATATGTTATATAAAATGCTCTAACCGCGTTCATACGCGCAAAAATGAAACCTGTAAACGTTGAAGATGATATGTGTTGAGATAAGAATAATCGATAAATGGTATGGTGTAGATACATAAGTAGTTGTAATCACTTACATTTACTCATTACTGTAATTGATATTGAAAGCACTTACTCTTGTTTCGTAATTTCCTCGATGAAAACATTATCGATCACTCATTTAGCTGAAACAACTTCAAGCATTTAATGTTTCGCGTCTCTTCAATCGAAAGACATATTTATATCAGAATATTAAAAATGCAATTAATTTTTTTAAATGTTGTTCCACACATTAACCGGACATACACACACACATATGTCTTGCATATTATTATATGTATATTGTATTATATTTTGCGTGTTCTTATATATTTTTGATATACATGCACTATATTTGTGTGGCGTTGATTTTTTGCTTTATATTTCAGAGCATACATTTATTAAGAGGTATGGTATAAGACTTTCCTTGATATTTTTCCCGCTTTTTATTTTCTCTCTTCTTTGCAATTCTTGACTTATCTCTCCTTTTTTAATTTTTCCAATCCGACATAAAAATCTGGCAGATTCATACAAAAACATATGCAAAAAAGATGTACTTTTATAACTCATCTTTTGTTAATACATTTAATGTGTCTGATCGTAATTCCGCTCTATATATGTATGTGTGTGTATGTGTGTACTATTAATTTTTCACTTGTATCTCACAAGTATGGTTAGCACGACGAAACACGGTGGCAACTGTAGAATTGGTTAGTAGTGATACGACACTCGAGGGATGTAACTACATTACAGGTAATCAACCAATTGACCTGGATGCACTCGACCTCGACCATTTCACCTGTCCGTTTCTGGTCAATCTCACCCTCATTTTCCTCCCTTGTGCGCTAACGTCGCTCTAAATATTCATCAGCATAATTTCCCTCGTCATCATCGTAAAAGAATATTTTTTTTAATAGAGAATACATTTTCTTGCAGAGAATGAAAAATACTTTTTCTAAAAAAATCATTGATTGAGAGAGAGAGTATTTTTACATAAACCTCCAGCACATAAATATATTGTTGCAGATCGACATTTTACGAATACTCTTGTTCTAGAATTTCTCGAGAAAGAATTAAAATTCCAATCTTTTGTTTTTCGAGAAATTATATTATGTTTATATATATATATAATAAAATATTAATGTTTTTTATATAATGATTGCAATTGGTATACATATGCGTTTACTAATTGCAATCATTATATAAAGAACATTAATATTTTATTTTAGCTGGAAATTAATTATACATTATATATAGAAGAATGAAAATTTAAAACAACCAATTGTAAATTACAAATAATACATTTCCATACATGCCATGAAGTGCAGTTTTAAATTAGATATGATTGAAACGCTACGATTTGAATGATTACCTTTTTCTTTAAAAGTATTTTTGTTCAAAGCTTGTCATTAAGTTGATGAAGTAATTATTATAACTCTTCTTTGACTTTGCATTCGATAGCATAACATCGATTAATTGTTCAATAATATCCTGCATGTAAACAGTCGCAACACTGGACACGGACAGCACCATCAATCTGTCATGTAACGAGATACTTTGATAACGTTTAATGGAATAGTGTATAAAAGTTGCGAAGGAGGTGTCGCGTTGTTTATATAACGCAGCATCCAAACATTGCGCGATGCCTGTAATAATTGATCACCTCGATTACTGTGCGGTGATAACCCGCGGTGGAAAAAAACACGGCGGTATAAGTTTGAAGTGCATTATTCACCTTTTTTTGCAATTTTATTTTAATTTACTTTATTACGACAAAGTAGCATGTAGAACGCGCCGCGAACAATTTAATTTAGATTGATATAGAGCGATTTTATTCGCTTTTTTCGAAATTCGCTATGCGAGATATTTGCAGTTATTAGTACAGAGTCGTTAAAGATTATTCAGAGCGGCATCGAAAATATCGGTAACTGGATATTCGGGCGAAAAGCTTTTTCTTTCACACCTCCTGTTAGCGAGTCGACTTAATTCAGCGTTTTAATATTGAAACATGCAGAGCCAAATATTTTACTCTTGTCATTTTAAATCATTTATAATATTTATAGATCACGATATGAGGGTACAATTTATGCCAATTATTTTCTTTACACCGTTTTCGATATATTATTGAAGAATCCAATAAAAAAAAAAAAAAAAAAGAATTCTTCTGAAAAAATAGATAAACTATATGAAGAGAATAAGCTGGCTGATGAAAATAAAAGAAAAGTTAGACAGTTTTGCACATTAAAATATAAAAGTATTTTTAAAAATATATAAATCAATTTATTGTGAAAAAAAAAAAAATTATTAAAAAAACAAAAAAAAAAAAAAAAAAAAAAAGAATTCTTCTGAAAAAATAGATAAACTATATGAAGAGAATAAGCTGGCTGATGAAAATAAAAGAAAAGTTAGACAGTTTTGCACATTAAAATATAAAAGTATTTTTAAAAATATATAAATTTATATAACTCTTTATCTATGATTTTTATGGACGTGCTGCAAATTTTACACACTTTTTTTTCACAATCGTAAGTTATCAAAGTGTTTTTAATTAAACTGAAATATTTTATATCCAATATTGAATGTGCCTATTCGCATATATGCACAAATACATCTCTTAGTCATTCATTTGGTCATTCTATCTTTACCTTTTACGATATTAAATAGTTCGTTCGAGGAAATACGATACGATTCGCTCGTGTTACTTCAGATAGTGTTACTCTCTTCGAATATTTATTCCCCCGTATAATCTGTGTTTCGACGTATGTGGCCTCGCCATTTCCCCGGGGGCGTTGTGTCCATCAAAGAAAGGATATGAAAGCTGACGAGAGCGTCTCCCTTTCTTTTATAGGCTTCGCGCGCTCGACATCGCCAACCAAGAATACATCGCGGATCTCGCCGAGCAGATACGACGTAAACGAGACAGCGCGCTGGTAAGTGTCGTATGATCGATGATGATTGCGCGACGTCGAAACGCTAATTCAGAACAGGATTAATTGTGTCGATCTCTCGCTAATCTCGTCGGACCGTCTGTTATTGAATCGAATTGGCTACGCGAACGCGTACGAATTCTGCGGATGAAATGAAATCAAACGATCCGTAAGGATCATATTTACTAACTTCAAAGTGAACCAAAAATAAAAGCAAAACTAAATTGATCCAAAAGCTCTTTGCTCCTCTTCTAAATTAACTCTATTTCGCGGCAAAAATTCGTTACAGTGGGCAGATGTAGCAAATATCGTAATATGCAAAAATCAATAAGTAGAAGATATATATGAAAGATGATTTTTGAGATAACTCCATTAGCAATTGAATTATAAAATCTTTAGTGTAATAAAAATATAGATTATAGATTAACGAAACAATATTGAGATAATAGTTATAAAAATTGTAAATATATAAATGCTAAACTAAATAAATTATATTATAATAAAAATAATATTTAAGAAAATTATCTTGTTATAAATACTTTTTTGTATATTATCAATTTTTTTGCAAGCGATATTTGAAATATTATTTCGTGCTTATTAAAAAAATTATCACTGTTTCGCTATGCTACATTTTACAAAATGAGATATTATTCCTGTTCGATTATGTTTGGCTACGTTTGCATGGAATATTTTTCTTTCTCATTCAGTCTCGTTTAAAGTTACAAATCATTTCGTACCTCGATCTCGTTTCAGGAGGAACGGCGAGTCGAACAAGAGAGTTGTCGCAGGCACATCGATACTTGGACAAGGCTATGGGGTAGACCGGGTCACGGTGCCCCTATAGATCACGCCCAACGGAACAATCTCTATAACATCCTCCATCACTCGGCTATCTATTGAATTTTCTCGTAAAACGTTTTGCTTTCAGTGCAAAAGCGGAGAAGCTCTCGTCTCTGTAATGTTGTATTTTATTATACGAAACGAATAAGATAGCTATTAGATACCGATGACGCGAACATAAGATCAGTCGTTTCCGCAAGGGATAGTAGTTAGGCATAAATAGTTTTTCATTCTCTTCGAAGTAAATGTATGTGACGTGCATTTAATAACATCATCCCGTATGCGAGCCGCTTTTGAAGTCATGTCTCAATCAGGTACTGCAATACATAATGCATTTAAAATATAAATGCGATTTGTTTTATTACAGTATTAACAAGATTTTAGCGAACGTAAATTATATCATTCTCGGAATAAGCTATTTATGGACGAGTGATGTGTGTTATAAAACGTCATAAAATATGTTCTTGAATTGAATGAAAAACGTCATCAACGCCTGCGAGCTTATAATTGGGAGTATTTTCCGCCGTTGCTAAAATCAAATCTCAAATGAAATTAAATGAAAGAGCCAGTGGAAGATTATATGAGAATGGAGCAGAGAATTATAGGATAAAAATATGTTAGCATCGGCGTTCTTTGTTTCTCATGAATCGACTTGACATGAAAAAAATGAAGAGTATATCGGATAACCCATTAAATTTCATGAAAGCCTTGCAGGAGAGAGTGAAGGGCAGCTTGATAAACCAGAGCCATGAGTGACGCCGCGATTGACCAGGCCTCAAAGGAGCAATCTCGTGAGAACCTAGTTGCTATACGGGTCGATAGGTTTTAAATTTCATGAACACCAAGGAACGGTCATTTGAATATATGTATGTATAGGTGCATGTGATATAACGTACGGTGCCGTGAAAAGAAACGTTTCTCATCAGTCATCGTGTCATCTCGATACATTTTGTGCTTCACTTTTTTGTGCTTTTATAAAGAACATCTATTTATAATTTAAACTTTATTTCGGATGCTTCTGAAACGTAAACAAAACCTCAGAAATTTTTAATTTTAGAGCTAAATATATATATCTTTTATAAGAGGATACCAAAAACGTTTTATTATATACTATTTGAATTTATCTGGAGTCTATCTATCTTTGGTAACTTAAAATAACATATTTAAAAAGTCTCGTTAATGTCGTAATTACACATACAAATAATTAATGATATTTAATAATTTATTATGAAGCAATAAATAAAATCATATTTCGCGCTGTGAATTTATAATAATACAAAGTATTGATTTTATATATTAGTGAGATTTTTCGGAACTGAGCTCATATATTTTATACGCTACTTTAAAATAAGTGACCCAAATCAATTTCGAGAACATCTGATTTTTTTGTCTTTTGACACATCAACATTCATTAAGATACTTAATTAAATGCATTAAAACTATTTTTACAACAGAGATGCGAATCTATTCGAAGACGATAGAATAACGATCTGTTACCTGAATAAATTTTATGTTTCATAAAAGTCAACGGCAAAAATATCTTCCGCGCATGTAAAAATTATCTGAGAATTATCAGCGCACAAATCTAGTTTACCGTTCGTAAAAGTTGAGTAAGCCCTTTCTTTATTGATCCTTTATGAATAAAATCTTTGCTTTCCAACTTACGATTAGATGCGAATATAGCACCGCGTTTCGGACGCGAATCGTAAATTATCAAACTGCGCGACGCGTTTCCCGCGGTTATATCAGCCGATTTGCGTAACACGTTAATTAGACATTAAGTGCTCGGTAACGGGGTACAAAGCCGGAAGAGTAACGGCAACGCCTTTAATGGATGTGGGTTATTTAATTTGCGCGGCTGCTGTTTGGCGGTGCGCCTCGGCGCGGTTTGTACGCGGAAAGGCGCACCTTCATCCTGTTTCCGTCTGGAGAGCGTAGTTTCAGTTTTCCCATCCTTCCACCGTCCCCGACGGTCCCTTCGCTCCCTTCGTCACCTATCCACTCTCGGAGCACGGAGAGAGAAACGACCCACGAAATCTCCTACCTTCGTCGTGCGCGCATCTCTCGATCCCTCCAACCATCCCACCGCTGTATTCCTTCCCCTTCCCTCTCCTCTCTCTCGCTCTCTTTGTCCTGTATCCATCCCTTTTCGCTAGCTACCAACCACTCGCGCTTTTGCTATTGTCTGACTATTGTGCCGCTGTTACCGCGGTGTGTCGGTCCGCTTGTATAAGGGTGATTCATTTTCTGGGAAATATCAGTTCCTGCGCGCCGCATGAATTTCGACTCACGCGAGCGCGTAAAACCGCGCGTTCTGTGTGTAGTTCTCCCCCTCATTCTCTCCCCTTCT